TGTAATGTTCTTTTTTACACTTCAAATGGTGAACTCTGAGAATTCCCAATGACTTCAGCTCTGTAATCTATTTTATCTAAGACTGTAACTGGGAACCCGTTTTTCTTGAATCTTCAGTACCACCTATTTCTCTGCACTGTGGCCTCCTTTCTACCCTGACAGCCACCATCAATATTTTTAGCTTTTTTTTTTTAATTTCAGCACATTCCTTTCTATAGCCACTAGCTGTCTTACCTCTTTGAATACCATAACAAGTTGCTTCTCTTTGCTTAAGTCAGTGAGCAGTGAGGGCTGTGTGGGTAGGTTCCCATTTCCCACAAGCTCCGTTTTCCCTTCTAATGTTGTGACACTTATTAACTATACTCAAGTTCTATTTTCCCTCTGGTTTGCAAGTTGTTTTTGAAGCTCGTTTGTCTAGGTGTGTTGACATTCCTGTCTGTGTTAGATATCTCCACTATGACTTGCTTTGCTGACTTTTCAGAAGTCTCTGTTAGAGGTCTGTTTTCTCCAAACACGTCTGCAGAATAAAGGTAGTTCAAAATGTGCATATAGCTTGTTTCAAAGGCTCCTTCTTAAAATTACTGTTATTGGAAAATCAGCATTTTTCCAGGAAGAAAAATATTACAGATAATAGTTGTGGCCACAGATGAGTTCCAAAAAGCAAACTTAATGTACCTGAAGTACATTATTGCATTAATAACACCACAAAACTTAACGACCTAGTATCTCTGTGGGAAAAAAATCATCTAGTGTTACATTAGAACTGGCAGGGAGACAAGATGGGAGCCCTCTTCTTATTAAGAATACTTCAAATTCTTAAGATTTTGTTATATTTAAGAGAAATAGCCAATATTGGTTTCCCAAATATTTCATTAAAGCATTTGAAGTGAGCTGAGAGGCGAGGCATGAAGAATTAGACCAGAACATACAGATGGGGCTTTGAAAATGGCAGTGATGGTTGGAAAACATAACAAAAGCTGTCTTCTCTCCTTCACTGCTTCTCTAGAACCAGTTCTGGAGAAGTTCGTTTTAGACCCAGCCCTAGATCAACTCAAGGAAAGGATCACAAATAAGACTGGTTTTTTTCTCCCTTTCTTTTTATAGCTACAAGGGGGTTCCAAGCAATAGATCTGGCAGAGCATGGGGAAGAAAGGAAGTTGCTGTGGTCCATTAGATATTTCAAGATGGACAGTGGTAGGTAAATGATATATAGAGTGATGGATATATGCTGAAGATACTCTTTACCAGTCTTAATAATTAATGTCTTTGAAGAGCAGTACCTGAACCATTGGAATCTCACTGTCAATCAGAGAGGCACAACCAACCACGAGTATTTGAAAGTGTCTGCTATAATTACAGTCTTATGTTAACTAAACATATTGAGGAATCTAAATTCTCTTGAAAATAATTTTAAACTGCCATAATATAGCATCAATCTACTAATTTCTAATCTCTAACTCTAACAAAGCTGGAAACTTAAGAGGCTGTCCTTATCCATGAATATCATGGATTCAAAAAAAGAATGAAGTAAAAAAACAAACAAACAAATCCACAGCGCATGATAGATGAATGGCATTTTTTTAAAAACTGAGATATAATTCATATGCCATAAAATTCACATAAAGTGTACAGTTCAGTGGTTTTTACTATGTTCAAAAGGTTGTGCAACTGTTACCACTATGCAATTCAAGAATATTTTCATCATCTTAAAAAGAAACCCTGTACCCATTAGCAGTCACTCCTCAAAACCACTGGCAACTACTAATCTTTCTGTCTCTATAGATTTACCTATTCTGGACATTTCATATAAATGGAATCACACAATATGTGGCTTTTTTGTGCCTGGCTTCTTTCACACAGCATGTTTTGAAGAGTCATTCATGTTATAACATGTACCAGCACTTCATTTTATGGTATGGAGACACCACATTTTGTTTATCTATGATAGCATCTTTAAAGTGTATTTTTGCTGCGTATGTTAATTAGCTCTCAGGATTACTCAAGACTCAACACAACACACACTGCATTTGTTCACAAACTGACCACCTGGCCACAAGATTATGAGTATTTTACTTTCTGTCCATTTATAAATCATCTAATACATTATCATCTTCATTGTATTGTGTCTCAGTACTTTGCTAAATACTTCTTGGGCTTTCCACCTAACATACCTCTTTTTCTAGATATTGCCCCTGCCTTCCAACTTCTATACAGTTAATGCGCCTTTGCTCCTGAATCCAGGTGACTGGTCCAGGAATGAGCGCTGACTCAAGCTGGATAAATCAGGCCCTTCACTGGGAATGCAGAATTGGGACTAAGATTCTGTTTCCAGTTAGCTACAATCTCAGGAGCTTTTCTGTTACCATTGTCTGCCATGCAGACTAAGAAACCAAAAAAACTAGTCTGCAATAAGGCAAGAGAGAATCAGAGAAACAAGAAGAGAGGATAGCAGAGATGAGAGACGGAGTCAGAACTCCTGGGTTCCCTGTAGTACTCCAGTCCCTGGCTGCAGGCCATCCCCTAAGGCCCAGCGGCATCCCTGCCCTTGGATTCCATGGGACATCCTATACCTTATAATAACTCTCCCTTACTGTGTAAGTTAGTTAAGGAGGTTTCTGTAATTTCCAGCCAACAGTCCTATTATAATCATCTACCCAATAAGGTTTTAAGCTTTTTAATTAGCAAAGGCTCAACCTCCACAACACCCATTACAGTGACTCAAACACATACTTATTTAAATTATCACCTGTGGAATCATTTGGAAAGTTATCCATAAAAAATACTCAAGACATTCTTGGATGAGTATGTACAAAAAAATTAGGATGTGTCCATTTGATAAAAAGCTATATTACTGTAACACCAACTCAACAATCTTTGTACCCATTTTGCAAAAAATCATTTAATTTCCTCAGAAATAAAACTGTCTTTTTGTATTACACTACTAAATGCCCATTTGCACTTGCTTGGCAAATGTTTTGAAATCTTTTAAAAGGCAAAGTGTTATATTTTCCTAAGATTTGAAGTTTCTTGACAACAAACAATCTGTATTTGCTTTTTAAGCAAAAAGCCACAGAACCTACTAAAGAATAACATCTAGCATAGTGATATAAACGAGTAGCTGACCTCCCTGCATTCGTTTTCTCCTCCTATAAACAGGCCATATTGTCAAGCACTAATAGTTCCCATAAGGATAACTTGATAAGACGGGGGACTGTGATGGTGGCACTACATCTTTTATTTTGAGATTTGGACCTCTGGTGTAGTTTAACAAGTGTAATTTAGCTAGGGAGTTTTTGAAAGTTGCTCTCTTTTCTTTGCCTCCTTTCTGCCAAACCTTAACGAGTGTTTACTATGTTTACTATGCATACCAGCTTCAACGGTTTACTTCGGCCATGCTGGCCCTGTGACTTGGGAGAGGTTTTGCATCAGTCTGAGATCCACTCCTATTCCTGGGGCAGACTGGCCTCTGAAAAGTGCCTTTTTCCCAGGATTGCCTGACCCATTTCTCCTTTCCTTTGTTCTGACTCCTCTTGTATGCCTATAAAAACTTTTGGCAGTATTAAGAGTGCGAAGGCAGTCTTTCTGACAAGGAACCCAGTGTTTTCCCTTAATGCTGGCATTTTGGAATAAACCTGCTTTTCTTTCCACCAACCTCACCTCTTGAGTTTTGGCTTTCACACGGCAAGCAGCTGGACCTTTCACATGGTAAGAATTTTACAAATGAGAAAATGAGATGAACAAGAGATAAATCACTTGCCCAACTTCAGAGTAAGTTGGTAAAACAAGCATACTTAGAATAACGGTACTCGGACTCCAGTTGGAAGCTCATTTCATCATACCATCTACTGAAAACATGTATGGACAGCATTGAAATCTGTTTCCTGAGAGGAAAAAAAAAAAACCAAAACCATAATTTTCTGCTTTCAAATGAGAGAGTAAGAGGTTGAGGTATCACGTCTCATTTCATGGACGTGAACGTTTTTTTCTTAACTATCCTTCTGAATGTCCTGATGGGCTTGCTCTAGAGAATAAGTGAAAGGAAACAGAATACCAGATTTCTTCAATCTAAAGGTTTTTCATCATAATGAACTATGGCAGCTATGGACTTTGTGTACCCAAACCTATGCCCATTTCCTCTTTCCATTAACAAAGTATACAGTCGCCTGGCTAGAGGAAGGGCAGGTGTCCCAGACCAGCCTAACCATTGGCAACGGTGACTGGTCTAAGTAAGGCGAACCAGAATCCTCTAGAACTGTGACACAGATGCTGAGAAAAAGAAACTCCCTCCCCGTTTCCTGCCAGGTGGAGAAGGCAGTCTGCAGGAGAGCCTAGAACCAACATTCAAAGAGAAAGAGAGAGAAGCACAGATGAGAAATGGAACAAGTGTAGCGATGTCAAATCCTTGGTTTTCATTTCTGAGCTGGTTCCTTTGATTTTGTATGTTAAATCTATATCTTTATCAACTGCAGAAGCCAGTACATTCCTTTTTTGCTTAAAATAGTTTGAATTGGGTTTCTGTTACTTGCAACTCAAAAATCCTAACATATACTGACCCCAGGAGACAGGACTAGAGATACATTAATACAGGGAAATTTATGAGCTTCTGTTAAATTTTTTTTTTTTTGGCCGCCTTTACATAGGCTCTACCATCTAATCTATTACTCCTGACACCCTATACCCAACAATTTCACTCTTTCCATTATATGCCTGGCCCCTGAAAGCATCTGAGTTTGTTAACACTTCCCTAGAATTTTTAAAAATTCCAATATAAGCTTCATTCATTTGATTTCCAACAGAAGTTGAATGTAAAATATCTTCCAGATAATAAAAATTAAATTAGATTTTACTTTATCTAGAACATCAACATTATAGTATGTTATAAGACAAGTTTTCAAAATTTAAAGCAAATCCAACAGAGAGATACAGCTACTTCAATATAATTCAGTAGCATGTCTTTTATTGTATAACAGTAGAAATTGACAACAAATCTCAGGACCTACCTCCAATAAGGCTCCAGTTTGGAAGAATTTCAAAGGCTTTTCAATGGAATAATAAAGGCTATGATAGCTACCCTTAGCCAGGTATGCTCTGACCAGACCAACAGCTATAACAAGCCACCTAAGAAAAAGAAAAAAAGAGCAATCAGGGGAAAAAAAAAAAAAAAGGTAAATAGGGTTTCAGGTAATAGCAACAGATATTGCTAAAGGTGATCTCAAGAATCAGTGCCCTGGATTTATCAGTGATAGCTCTCCAACGCCAATGCCCAGAAATGTTGCACCACACAAAGAGTGCTCTGCAAAAGCAGTGGCACCTCACCCATCTGGAGCTCGGCTTTTTGGCAACACTGTCTGTTGAGAACAAGGCCAAAATGAAGGGAATAAGCTAAACTGGTACTTAAGCGGCTAAATTAAGTGCCAGAAAGTCTAAGACAAGAGAAAAAAAAAGTGTTAAAGGAAAAATTTAAACTGTGCAGTTAAAAGGTCTGTAATACTAATAGGGTGGAGATGTTTTAAACTACTTTTACAAGTATTTCACTACAACATACCCATACCTTAAAACCTATCCTTTTGAAATTGCAAATGAAGAAGGGTTTTTTTCCTTTTTTTTAAAGAATAAGATTGTTTTTAGCTGAATTTCCCAAAATCAATTCAGTAAAAAAAATCCAGATCAGTACAAAATACAAAACAGGAAAGCACTCAGACATATCACTGCAAATGTTAAATTTGTTTTACTGTCCTTCTCAAAAATAAATCTCAGGCCCTGTAATTTTTATGTAAGTTCCGTGAAACAAATGAACTTTTTTTAAAGTAGGTCTCCTTGAAGGCAGTTATAGATTTACCTATGTGTATAATCTCAGCTAGGTAATGGGGTGTGTATGTGGTCTACGTTATTTCTACAAATTGTCATACAAAAACATCAAATAAAAGTCTGTAAAAGAAATGAACTCCTTAATGGTGTAACTGGTCCAGCATTAGCAACCTAGGAAAAAAGCTTACTTTATTCTCACAATCCCAATTTCTTTTCCTGATTTAAAATATCCCCCCCTCCCCCCCTTCTTTATGTTCATTGCCCAGGAATAATGACTTCTTTTCTTCTTCCCCAATGTACCTTAATATCCCTCTCCAGGTCCAATGTTCTCATCAATGCCCTTGCCAAGGCAAGAATTTTACATATATACAGACTCCTGAATATTCTTTTAAAATCACTGCGACCATTTATGTGATAAAGAAAACTTGCATATGTAATATTTCTTCAATGGTCTACTCATCAAGAGAAATAGGTTCTAGGTCCAGATCTACTAGTAATACTGACAAGTTCTGTGACCTCAAGCAAGTCACAACTTCTCTGAGCCTAGGTTTCAACACTGGCCATTTCTAATACTAGCATTAAAGTCTATGATCCTCCCAAGGTATTTGTGATATGTTTAAAAAATGTAGGGGGGCGTATACACATATTTTCTTATATCAGCATCTAAAGGACACAAAAAATAAGGTGCTTCCAGGGAGCAGATCTGGGTGGAAGGGAAGGCTGAGCGGATTTTCACTGTATGCCCTTGTATATATTCTGAATTTTGCACCCCACCAATGTGTATTGCCTATTGTAAAAATAAATAAAAATGGAGTTCACTACACAGTTCTTCCAACCTTTCTGTATGTTTGAATTTTTTTCATAATACAAGATTAAGGAAAATGTTTTACAAATAAATAAAATTTAAAAATACATAAGTAGTCTGATCCTGTGATCCTCCTAACCAAAAACCATGGGATCAAAGAACTGGAGGAAGCCTGGCGATGCCCTAGCTCAACCCTCTAGTTTTACAAATGTAAAAACAGAGGCCAAGAGAAATAAAGTAATTTATCCGAGGTCCCATGGCTAGCTAGTGTTAGAACTAGAACTAAAAACTCGCTGTGACAAGGGATGGACTGAAACGAGGGAGAAACAAGAGGGTAAAGCCCATTTGGTGAGTCTATTCCTCTCTTCCCCAGTACCTCTTGCCTTCCGCTCCAGTGCCTTCCCCACCTCGATCAAAAAAAAAAAAAAAGTCTAAACTCATCTAAAGCACACTTCTGCTCATGTCACTGGTCAAAAACTTTGAAAGCTTTTCCATTACCGTTCAGATTATAGCTCAGCCTGGATGGTCACTATGCAACTAGAGCTTTCTCCACTCCCCTTGGGGGAAACAGCTCGCCATTCGTGACGGACCGCCTAGGCTCTCCGCGCTGCAGGATCAGCCGACACACCGCTCCCGAGACCTGGACCTGTGAACAGCCCACCCGTCCTCCCAAGGCCCTCCTGACCTGCGCCTGAGCATCCTCTCCCGTGCCCCGTTGGAGTCCCGAACTCCAGCTCCAGGCACACCCGCTGCCTGGGTACCTGCCCAATCCGCTTTCCCTGGCAGGCATCGCGGCAGTTCTGCGCTCAGCTGCCCTCAGCGCCCAGGTGCCGGGCCCCAGACGCTGAACCCGGGACTGCGCTGCGCGCGGTGGGCTGGGCCCGGCCCCACAGCCGGCCGCAGAGCCCCTTCACCGGCCAGATTGGCTCCCCGCCTCCCTGAGCCCCAGCCTCACCCCGCCGTCATCACTACATTGTAGATGACCAGGTACGCCGTGGCCAGAGGCCCCGGGCCCCTCTTCTTCCGCGCGCTGCTGGCTTCGCCGGCCCCGGCCCGGCTCCCACCACCCCCATTCCCCCTGGTCGCTGCAGTTGCCGCTGCTACCGCCATGTCAAGTGCCGGGAGCCCGCTCTACTTGCGCGAGCACCGCCGCCGGAACTAGGCACTGAGAGGGGGCGGTGGAGGGACGAGGGAGGCGGGGCGGAGGACGCGGGGGCGGAGCCAGGGACAGCGCCCACGATGGCCGCCATCTTGGAGGAGGGCAAAGATGCTCCCTGCGCTCCCCGCCCCTCGGCGCGATTAAATCGCCACCGCCATCTTGAATCAGGGCAATCACCGCCTCTTTTGCGCTCCTGGTAATTACCTCCGACGCCATCTTTGATTAGGTCAGTGTTGCCTCTGGCCGCTCAGTAGGCGCGTTGTTTCTACGGTCTGGGTGATTCATCGTCCCTGCCTATTCTCTCTTCTTGAACCTCCGCCTACATGTTGGATCAAGAAAACGATGTTTAGTTCTCTCTTCTCAACTTGACTTCTCCCAAAAGCCCTTTCTTCACTTCTATATATGCGATGGAGTAACCTGCCATTTTGGGTCAGGGCAACTGATGCCTATTTCAGTTCCCATTGTGGATGGAAAAGGGGCCACAGGTTAAACCTGACAAGCTTAGGAGACTGAAAATAAGATGCCGTGAACATACACACACACACACACACACACACACACACACACACACACACACACACACACAAATTTTTAACTAAGTGGGCCATGGAGGGAAGTCACATCTTCAGCTTCTTCATTAAGTTAATCTATGCCTTTTCAGTGGGCCTGTTGTCTTTTTGTACCTAAGATAACATTTTTAATCCTTTTTTTGGACCAGAGCTGAAAACTGCAAAATTCCTCATTATTCTTCTCTCCTGATTACCATCTCTATGTACTGTAAAAAGCTAACTTAACTATCCTGCACCCACCTATGTGAAAGAAGTACCTGTCTCTCCAATTTACTTTTATCGAATTCCGAGACTTCCCCGCTTCGCTTTCTCCCACCCCCTTAATCTATCACCAGTACATTTCATGTAACCTTCCTCTTTTGATTTTATGTATAAAATAAGCAGTAAAACTGCCGTTCTCCAGAGCGTTTTCTGAATCTCTTGAGATTTTGCTTCCCGGCAATGGTCGACAGTTTGGCTCAAATAAACTTATAAGTTTCCTCTTAGGCTGGATGTTTTTCGTCAACACCATCAATCCCAGAGGTTGGCAAGGAACAGCTCCTCTGCTGAATGTGGGAAGCCGGGTTGAAGGTTCATGTTCCGAAGGTGTCTTCCCTGCCTTTTGATTTTAAGTTACTAGTACAGTGGAGAATATTAATGAGAAGTGTGCCCCTTTTGCTGTCTGATGAGAGTCACCCGTGTAGACTAGGATCCAATGTCATCCGTGAGAGCCTGGAGAGTGTTCAAGTGCATCTTCCAGCCCGAAGCCGATTGGGTTCGCCCGTTGCTGAAGCAGGACAGGGCTGAGGCTTTAGGTCATCTGCTAAGGGTGAGCTGTGGAGTGGAGTGCACAGCTTTACACTCACAGTGGACCCAAACAGAGGGATGTTGGCTTACAGGGAAACCTACCTGCTGAGGGAAGACCGGACAGCTTGTGTAAACTGCATCAACCCGCTGACCCCACTTTCCATTCACTGCTTTGTCTTAGGGCATTTTTAATTTTAAAAGCTTCTACCGTATATTTTCACACACCCAAACATCTCTTTAAGTGAATGATTGCATATGTGGGGGGGTATAAAATATTTTATTCATTCCAGCAAGTATTTATGGAGTGTCTGCGAGATTGCCTGGGGTTCGTGGCACTAAATGAAAGAAACAAGCCCTCGGTTTCCCAGAGATTACATAGAGGGAGCCAGATGAAAATAAATACATATTAGTTGGTGAAAAGTGATATGAGGAAGTTACTGCAATAATCCAGGCCATAGTGATAGTAGTTTGGGCCAGCGTGGTAGCAATTAAGGTTATGAAAATTGAATTCTGCACATATTTTTAAAGAGCTGATAAGATTTGCGAATATATTAAATGTGGAGTATGAGGTAAAAGAGACATTGTGAGCAACTTGGAAGAATAGAGTTGTAGAAGAAGAGATTTTGAAGGAAGAAATCAGGAATTTTGTTTTTTATGTGTTGAGCTTGAAATCTATTAGACTTCCAAGTGGAGAGTTGAGTAGACAATTAGATTTTGAGGTTCAGGGACAAGTGTGGTCTAGAGATGGAAATTTGAGAGTCATCAGGGTGATGATGGTATTTAGAACCATGAGGCATCTAGGGACTGAGACACAGGAACTAAACAATTGTCAGGGTCTCATCCTTTATGGCCCTGCAGACAGTGTAGAGATCCTGTTGCCTTATTTTATTGACTTCTTTAAAGAGCAAGTGGATGTACTCAAATTGCAGACTGTAATCACTGGGGGGGGGGGGAAATTGCAAAAGAAAGGAACCCATTTTGCAGAGCAGATAATCACTCCTCTCTTCTTTCATTTAACTGATTTTTCTTTTCAATATAACCTGGGACAGCAGGAGGCAGGAATGCATAAACCTCTGGAAATCAATCTAAAACTCAGTGTGTCTTCTTGCAATCACAGGCGCAACACCAGTCTGTTCTCTACAGTATAGTCACAGTGATCTTTTCCAAATACAAATTTGTTCATGTGTATTATCTTCCCCCTTCTCACTCCCTTAAGACATTTAAATGGGGTTTAATGGTACTTAAGATAAAACATAAAACATTTCACATAGCCTTCAATAATGTGCATGTTCTTGCCCTATCTACATCTTCAGTCTCACGTCACACCATGCTCTCCCTAGCCATATTAGACTGATCTTAGGTCATTCGGTGAGCAATGCTTGTTTCTGCCACAGCGACTTTGAACATATTTCTTCTGCCTAGAACAATCTCTAGCCCTCTTCTTTCTGAGCTAAATCCTGCCATCACTTTCCCTGAACTTCTGGAATAAATCACTCTCCCTGCTATGGACTTCATGTACTTGTTCTCATGACATATACCACAGTAATTTTATATTTATTCATGTGATTTCCCAAGTAGACTGCAAGTTTTATAAGACAAGACCAGTGGTAATTTCTTGGTGGTGGTGGTTTCTTTGAGTTGTTTGTGTTTGTATGCCCCCCCTCCCCCATTACCTGACACATTGCCTGGGAACATGTTACGGTCTGGATCTATCATGGTTTCTCTAGCAAAAGTAATTACTTCAAGACTTAATTAAGACTTTGAAGACAGAAGCAGAGCTCATCAACGTCCTTTGAAATTGATACATGGATGCTAGGGAGTAGTGTTTGTCTTTTTGCTGGGATTGTTAAAGACAAGAGGATGTGCTTCTGGCTCCATACAACCATCTTCCCTTCCATGTGGAGAGAGATTGTTGATAAAAAGAAACCAAGCAGACATGAGATGGAGAGTGTGTCTTGGAGATGTTGAGTCTTGGCTCCAAGTACCTAAAGCTTTTCCTGGTTTTGTGGGTTATCTCATTATCCTTCCCAGCAAGTGAGTCAATGTGTTTCTTTTGCTTAATCTAGCAGTCCCACAATAAAAATCATGTCTCCCATTTTGTTCCAACAAAAGTCTTGGAAAGTACTCACATTAGTTTGAGCCACATATATATCACTAAGCCAATTATTATGGCCAAAGGGGATGAAATATGCAGATTGGCCAGGTCTTTATGTCATATACCCATAGAGGGAAGAGGGGTAGCTTCACCCAAACTATGAATTGAGTTCATACATTCCCCCCATTTGGAGGATATAGTTTCCCAAGAAGTAATAAGGGAGTTGTTACCAGAAGAAGGGGATGGATGTTGGGCAGGCATGGTAGGCCAAAAAAAAAAATGGTCCTCAAAAAGATATTGATGTCAAATATCTGGGATCTGTGAATGTTGCCATATTTGGGAAAAGGGTCTTTGCAGATGTATTTAAATTAAAGATCTTGAGAAGATAATCTTGGATTATGTGAATTGGTCCTAAATGCAATCACATATATCCTTATAAGTAGACACACAGAGAAAAAGAGACACACAGAGGAGGAGGCACTGTGGCCATGAGAGACTGGAGTGTTATTTCTAATGTTTAAGAGATTTAGGGGGCCGACCGAGTGGTGCGTTGGTTAAAAGCTGGCTTGGGATACCAGCTCTGAGCAGCAGGGCCCCGGTTCTGATCCCACATGAGGGCCAGTGACACTGCCCTCTACAACTAAGATGGTGCAAAATAGCTCGACCTGGAGCTGGGCTCCCTGAGTCGCCGGTGACGGCATAGGCTGCAGCCCCTGCTGCAGTGGGCTGCCATAAGCTACCTTGTGTGGCTGGCAGCCAGCGTGAGCGGCCGGCAGCCGGCGTGAGCTGCCAAGAGCCGCCGTGAGCAGCCATCCAGAGGCCGGTGACCGATCTGCCTCAGCGGGGAAGAGTGCAATGATAATACCAACATGGGCCAGTGAAGCAACGTCCTCCACAACTAGACTAAAGAACAAAGGACAGCAACTTGTCTGTTCC